CGAGACATGTCGCTTAGTTTCCCCAATGTAACTACTGCCACAGACACAACTTAGTTTGTAGATGCCGGGGTATTGCATGTCAGGGATCACATCCTTCACAGATGGAATATAAATTGGTGGAAACTCACCGCCAATCGTGGTCGCTGCCCATCACCTACATTAACATTAGTTGTCCCACCCATGCTGCTGACATTTGGGCTATGCTTATTTTAAACCTTTATAAACAGTTTGCCTTTAGAAGATAACCCCCTTTTTCTGACGACGACCACTTGTGTTGTGATCGAAATGTCGTAGTTTTTTGTAATTTTCTTTGAACTTGTCAACGTGACTTTACCGAAAGACCCAAAGAATATAATTCATGCAGTCACTAAAGCTTTAAGTCAAGATTTCACCTGTGCCTCGTTTGATCACCTTGCAGCTGCTGGTCACTCGATCGCTTACGTGTTTGAGTTTCCAATTTTCAGAAAGGTAATGGCTGTCAAAATACGAAATCCTTTGTTAAAATAAAATCGCTTTAAAAGATATATTTAGAAATGTTCCTGAAATTCCGTCATAAGGAAGATTGATCTGTGAGTTAACCGTGACATGTTTTTTTCTCGGTTGAGTTTCTGCCGCTGATGAATTTGTATTGAACATGTATGAAAACAACAACAACATTCCACGGTTATATCCGTAGTACAACTTGGGAATTAATTGTAAAAGTCCTATGATAGCAGTCAAGGAAATATGTATTTTTTTTCTGTTTAAAATCATGTCAGGTTTGAATTATGTTTGCCATGTGCAGTTGCTCATTAACATAAATGAGTTAGTATAATTGGTATGTTACTGCACTATGATCATTGTGGCTTAAATGATTATTACACCATAATTGCAATGCATTTGCATATTACTGTAATATGTCAAAAGGACACTAATTGTCTTTTTTGTATGTATGAGAGGTGATTTAACAGTCTGTGGCCTGACATAGATGGAGTGAAGCCAGTACAAAGGGTGAATAAATAATTAAAGCATCATTATATTTACATATCACTTTTACAGAAGTTTTAAATCATCTTGTTTGTGCGCTAACTAATTAAAGGTAGAATTCTGTATAAAAAAGAGACGAGAGAAAAAAAACCAGAACGAAATCCAGACACATTTATAAAATCCCCCATATTCGCCAGACCTGTCTCTGAGTGCCTTACACACGTTTCCATAGTTTCAAACAAATCACAAGCAAATCTGACATTTTCTAGTGACAAGGAAGTGTTGTGTACTGTTGCAGGAGTAACCCGATTCTAGTAGCAAATTTGGCTGTCACTTTATCAATTTTTGGTGAAATTGATGCCCGATTTAAAACACGATCAGAAAAAAACTAAAATCCATATTTTGTAATTCACAAAGGGTGTAGAGGGTCACCCAGGACCAGTTCACTTATCACTCGACGATAGCAGTGTGCTAACCACTGTGCCACCGCTCCAGCGTTTAACTGCACCAGAGCACGGGTTTGTCGAGCACCGTGCGGACGTCTTGCACTGTGACTTTACAAAGCATTGCATTCTTCCTGATTAGATTTTGACAGGATGAAATTACGTGGGTGACTAATACGTTTCAGTTGCTTTCACCATCATTACACAACAAGAGATCAGCCCGCGTGTGCGACTGCGGTGTTTAATTAGCGTGGGCTCCGCAACCCTTTTCAATGGAACTCTGCCCAAGAGGGCTTTTTGCATGCTCACAAAGGACCTCTGCAGGTACATTAGCACACACCCCGAGTCGAGTGAATGGCACCTTGCTGAGCACGTGTTATTATGCTGGTGGAGAAAGAGAGAGCCTATCTGTGTTTGTTTTATTTCATTTTTGCTGTTATTGATTTACATCGTCACGACGTGCTATCTCACTGGTGCATAATGGCTTAAGGTGGTGTACAAAATGTACCTCGCTTTTGTCCAATGGACATCGGGTGTACAATTCATTCACAGGTAATGCCTCCCTTTCGCTGATGAAGGAAGATGAGAAAGACTTGTACCACAGCGCATGTAACGTGCAATTACATTAAAACAAGCCTGCTTAATTCCTGTCCTCATGTCAATCTCTGGTCCTAGCGAGCTTCCAGTTTTTACCAACGATCACACGCCTGCAGTGTGCATCCATTGAGTTCTGAATGTGAATGCGCTAAAATACTCCTGTGTTCAGGAAATGCACAGATCGATATTGCAATGCATTGTATCGTATCGTCAATGATAGAATCACCGTGAACGCATCTAACCTTTGTCAGATCTCAGCAGCAAGTTAACCACCACCACCAGGGCTTGCCAGGTGCTGTAGGCGTAGGGCTGCGAGGTGGCCAGGAGATGGTGGTGCCGAGTGGCACCCTGCCGTATGTGCAGGGCTTCATTGGCTCCTCCACTTGCCAGAGGTCGCAACCGGGTACCCGATACCCGTACCCTACCCGATACCCGGCTACCCGTACCCGGCCAGGTACAGGTACCCGTTTGCGACCCTGGTGCGGCCGGGTACGGGTAGGGAATCAAAACCCGTTTGCGACCTCTGCCACTTTCCTACCGCGAGAAGCCAAACGCCCTTCCGTGAAATCGGCCATCCTGAGTGAATGATAGTCTTGAGAGTAAGGGAAGCTGTTTTATCTAAATCATTGGCGTTGCCAGTACACGTACAGCCCTTTTGTCAATCCGCTGCTGGATGAGGGCCTCCCTACTCCGTGTTGGTCGTGGGGGTTATATAACCATACTTCACCATGCTGGTCAGTCTGGGTTGGTTACTGCGGGGAGAAAAGATGTGGGAGCATGAAACTACAATACGACAGTGAATTTGGCACACTGCCCGAATGCACAATGTAGACCCGCCGTTATATAACAACTTACTACGTGAATGATTAAGCGACTGACTTTACTTATTTATCCAGGAAAACCACGCTGAGCCACAGCCATCTTCTTTAAGTAGGATCCTGCATTGGGTTTTTATTTTTAGATTTTTTTCCAGCCAATTATTGATGACTGTTCATACATCTGTTGGAGGAAAACCGGAGCGCCTGGAGAAAACCCGCACGAGGGAAAACTCTATCCCCATATAGATGGAAACAGATGGCGATTAATCAACTTGCTGTACCGTCTTCTCCTGGACAGCCAAGGTAAGGGACTCCATTGACGCCCACGAGAAGGGAGTTTCACAACATATGTGTGAGATCCACCAAGCGTTGCGTCTACAATGCTAGATTACAGACATCCGTAGCGACTACCACCCAGCTAAATCAAACATAAAATGAACAAAACAATGCATTTTTTTCCACATAACTGGTAGTGGTGACGCTATGGCTCAAATGACCAAATTCTATTATAGGATTTATCATCGTGCCACAGTATTGCATTTCAATCATTATTGAGGAGGATATGGGATTTTGAGGGACCTCAAAATCCAAAGTTCTGTGCTGCTGCCTGCAAAGCCCCTGCAAGTATCCGGTTCTGCCTGTGTACACTCAACTACAGCATATAAATATCTTCCCCCTCCAACCCAGCTTAAATATACGCTCCAAGCCTGGGGTGTTTCATTCAGACACTGTCTTCCCGACAGACCTGTTCTTCACCTGAGGACGGCTGCTTGCGTTGTGGCCGAAACGTCGTGAGAATTGTATTTTATTATGTTTTATTTTTATTATTTTATTACTTCCCTTCTACGTGACTTTACCGAAAGAACCAAGAAGATGAATCTCTGCAGTCACGAAAGCTTTAAATCGAAATTTTATTATGTTTTATTTTTATTATTTTATTATTTCCCTTCAACGTGACTTTACCGAAAGAACCAAGAAGATATAGTACAGTGGATTGTTGAACTCATCTGTGTGGACATGTGAGTGTTACGTTGTGGGGTTTTGTCCAAGTATATTTTTAAATCGGGCCCTACATTCATAATAATAGCAACAATCACGTATTAATTCTGGTAAATATCAACTAATACCAAGTGCAGTGCTCGCAAGCGGGGCAGCCTCATGACCCCCGGCCACCTTGGATTTGTCACTGTGCGAAACGCCCCTTTAAAGGAATTGTCCAACAATCCCAATGCATGCTATTTATGAATTCCTAACAAAAGCCTCGTGAAAAAAATGGCGAAGATCAATAAAAAAAATTGCGGCAGAGCAACCAAAGTTTAAACCAAAATCGATAACTTTTACAATAAATTAAGAAAATAGATCCGTAGTCTTGTTGTACAAAACGGGAAATATTTGGAATGATACACAGCAAGGGTCAGTGTGCTCCAGACAGGAGGTGCAAGGCAACGTGTGGCTTTGCAATGAAAGTGGAATTTGATAAAGAATTAAATAATAACGATTCATCCATCTGCGCAAGCATGCAAGTGTGAAGTAAAACAAGATCAATTAAAGCAAATTTTATATTTGTTGAAAGTTAAATGATGGTATAGGCCAAGGGGTCGGCAACCTGTTGCTCCAGAGCCGCATGCGTCTCTTTAACGACTGTTTCGTGGCGTTATTGATTGAGAACCACCGTCTTGTATTCACCACTAGAAATATCGAGCTTTTTCTTTATACAGAATTTGAAAAAAATAATGGTGCTTCTTGTTATTTTGGTTGCTGACCGCTGGCATAGGCAATAATAATGCATTCTAGATTTGAAGCTTTCGTGACTGCAAGGATTCAAATTCTTAGGTTTTTTCGGTAAAGTCACGTAGGTAAAACATTAAAATTAATAAAAGTAAACTAAAATAAATAATTTATTTTAATTAAAATTAATAAAAGTAAAATAAAATAAATTAAAATATTTTAATTTATTTTATTTTACTTTTATTAATTTTGTAATAAAAGGACTCGAACACTTCTCTCTGTCTTCGTGTCTTTATTCAGGTTCACGTCTTTACCCACACGGCACTCTGTTATAACTCCTGTATTTGTAGCCCCCGGCTATTCACTGCTATTATAGCTTCCTCTCCCCTCTGACTCTCTGCTTCATCTACTGTAACCTCCTCCCTGCAGACTCGCTGCTACCCCTATGCAGACTCCCGCTGCTACCCCTATGTGCAGACCCTCTGGCTGTCACTGTATGCAGACCCGCTGCCCACCCTCTCTGTGCAGCCCCGCTGCTGACTGCAGCCTCCTCGCTGCTTCGGGTCGGTCACCGCTGGCCAACGGTGCCGATCCTCGCTCCCCCCGTGTTCGTGGCGATCTCGCCACACCCCGCTTCGCCCTTCGTGGCCTTCCTCTGTTCCTGGTTCCCCGTCACTCCCCTTGCTCTTCCGGTTCCCCTCCTTCTATACTCAACCCCTCTGCCCCCCACGTGACCTAACTCCTCCCCCCCTGACGGCGCCTCAGAAGGGCCGTTTACAACCGCATTACATCACCCTCCCCCCTAAAGAAAATCCAGCCGACCTCGGCTGAATTGCAACCTGAAAAGCAATGCGGGTGTAAAGGGCCAACACGCAAAAAGACACGAAGCATTGAAGAACATTATAACAATAACACAACACAACACAATCTAACGAAACGTGAGGGATTTCGAGCGAGTACGGGTAGCCGGGCCGTCCCGGACGGTCGGCGGCCCACCCGCCGAGCGGGAACGTGGAAGGGTTTTAGGGGCGACGGGCGCAAGTTCTTCCGTCGCCATTGGAGGCCCGCCACTGTCCCGCTCGCGTCCAGAAACATCCCGTACTCGCGTCCGCGGAGGGATAGGAAGAGCTGCAGGTCCCGTGGGTTCTGCGGCTCCGGTCGGCGTCCCACAAGCGGAAGGTCCTCCTCCCTGCGCTGTCACGGCCGGATTGTCTTGGAAGACGCAAAATCCCGTCAGCCGGTCCCCCTTCAACCGGTCCCGGTGTAAGCGGAGGTTCGAGAACATCCACTGCCCGCGCGACAGGCTGAGGGGGGGGCTGAGCCGGTCCACACCTGTGCCGGAGGGTCTTTCTTTGGGACGTCCGCGATCGAGGCCTCCTGCTGGGGCGGCCCCGGAACCCGGGCCCAGCAGTCCCTGGCATAGTGGCCCCGACGGCCGCAGCGGAAACAGTCGACGTCGGGTCGGCGCGCAGCAGGCACCCCGTCCCGACGTGGCCGCGCCGGCGGCGGAGCCCGCAGCCCCGGCCCGCTTCGAGCCGGCCACGGAGTGGAGGCGGCCGACAGCTCCTTTGGGCCGGTCGCATCCGGCACGTACACGGCCTTTGTAGGGTCCCACCCTACGGCCCCCCCATCGACGACAGGACCGCCCGTCCACGCCGTGACTTGTTTCCAGCGGCGGAGATTGAACTGGGCGTCCAAACACTTGGCCGCGGTCCGGGACGTGAGTTTCTCGTGACCGCACGCCGGCATAGGAATGCCCAGATCCCGGGATAACTCCAACATCTTCCCCAAGATGAGAGGTTCCAGCAGGTCAGGCTCCGTCTCCGGGTAAGCGGCCATCGCGAGTTCCAGCACGGCGCCCCTGTACGCTACAGGCGACTCCTCCGGTGCGCGTTGCCGCTGCACGAAGCGGCGATGGGCGTCATCCGGTGGCTCGTACGCGTCCGCCATTTCGTCGAACACTCCACGCAATGTTTTCTTCTTCGCAGCTTTTATAGAGCGAAAAAAACGAACAGACTCATCGTCAAGGAGAGTCGGAAGCACCTCCAGCGCCTCGGCGTCCGTCCACCTTGCCGTTCGTACCGCCGCCAAAAATCGACAAGCGAACGCACTCCAATCGCCCCCGATGGAGAACTCCTTAACAGTTGTAAGGTGACGACTGCGGCTCCTTGGCCTGCTTCCGTCCGTCACCGACTCTTCCGGCGGCAAGTTCAGCAAGGCGTCGCAACGCGGTGTCGCCAAGATGGCGGACGATCCTCGTGGCGGCCCCAAAATGGCGGCTTCCCGCCTTCCGTGGTGCGCCACGCCCAAGATGGCGTCTTCACGCCGCGTGGCTGATGGCGGCGCCATCGAAGACGACCGGGGCTCCTGCCGATCACCACCATCACCTTCCAACGCCGCCCTTCTTAAATCTTCGTCCTTCAACGCAGATGGGTCGGACGCAGCGGCAACCTCCTCCACACCCGGGCCCTCACGGATCTCTCCCTCCGCCGAAGTGAAGCCGACCTCAGGAGGAAGATCGTCGTCGTCCGATGATGAAGCCGACGCCGGAGATGGGATATTCTTCTTCCTCAGTTGTTTCGCCATGCCGTTTCACTTCTGACACCAGTGTAATAAAAGGACTCGAACACTTCTCTCTGTCTTCGTGTCTTTATTCAGGTTCACGTCTTTACCCACACGGCACTCTGTTATAACTCCTGTATTTGTAGCCCCCGGCTATTCACTGCTATTATAGCTTCCTCTCCCCTCTGACTCTCTGCTTCATCTACTGTAACCTCCTCCCTGCAGACTCGCTGCTACCCCTATGCAGACTCCCGCTGCTACCCCTATGTGCAGACCCTCTGGCTGTCACTGTATGCAGACCCGCTGCCCACCCTCTCTGTGCAGCCCCGCTGCTGACTGCAGCCTCCTCGCTGCTTCGGGTCGGTCACCGCTGGCCAACGGTGCCGATCCTCGCTCCCCCCGTGTTCGTGGCGATCTCGCCACACCCCGCTTCGCCCTTCGTGGCCTTCCTCTGTTCCTGGTTCCCCGTCACTCCCCTTGCTCTTCCGGTTCCCCTCCTTCTATACTCAACCCCTCTGCCCCCCACGTGACCTAACTCCTCCCCCCCTGACGGCGCCTCAGAAGGGCCGTTTACAACCGCATTACAATTTTAATGTTTTACCTACGTGACTTTACCGAAAAAACCTAAGAATAACGCAGCCCTGCAATTGTTTATAGCTCGCGCTATGGCTGGAGAAAGGGCCTCCTACACTCGAAAGAGCGCTGCAGGACCCCTCTATAGGATATTTTGGCCTACTCTTTAATGCTCGCCAGACGTCTTGTAAGAGGTGGGAGTGCACACACACGGTTTACCCCACCACACTTTCGCACCGTACGTAGCCAACCGTGCTAATCGGAGGCGCGGGGGAAGGACAGTTGATTGATACTGGTGGTGTATTCATTCGTGCTGCTGAGTGGACAGAGGTGGGGTGGATTTAAGAAACTTGGTCTTTATTTCAACTGCTACGCTTGGAGGTTGAATCGGTGACCTCGAGATTGCAAGTCTAACGTGCTAACCATCGCACCACGGCGGAATCACTGATATAAAACATGTGCACATTTCACATACACAAACCTCCTCCATGACGGCCAATTTAAGGGGAACAAACAACGTGTGAGAAATTTCAGCGATCATTTCTAAAACAGAGTCAGCCTACACGGATAAATAGCCGTGACAACATTTTCAAGTGACACCTTCATGCGTCATATTTACGGTATGTGTGCAACAATCATTGCGATGTAGGGTAATTACCGCTAAAGCACAATGTGGTTAATTAGCTAGCAATTTGCAAACTCCCTTTAATGGCAGTCGGTGATATTTACATGTATTCTAGATTTGAAGCTTTCGGGACTGCAAGGATTCATACTCTTAGTTTTTTCGGTAAAGTCACGTAGGTAAAAAAATTCAATTAAAATTAATAAAAAATAAAATGCAGTGCCTTTAATTCATACAGCAAATCTGGCTGTGACTGTCCCACCTGATGACGGAGACTTGTGTTGCCTCCGAAACGTCGTGATTTTTATTATTTTATTTTTTATTAATTTTAATTTCATATTTTTTACCTACGTGACTTTACCGAAAAACTAACAGTATTTACATGTTTGTTAATACATTGTTTACCAGCCATTACCAACCCAAGGTGCTGTGTGGTAGCTGGAGCGGGGTATGGGTGAGTGATTGACTTTAACATTGAAGATGCGTCATATAACTTCCCATGAATGTGAAATTGCAGTTTCAATTTACAGCATTACTAATATTACAAGGGGAGCAGTTGCACCGCGGTTAACGAATTACACCATGAACCCCCAAGACCTGAGTTTGATTCCGCTGTACTGGTTTCTCTGAATTAAAGGCACTGCATGCCAATGTTGGGCACATTGATGAGTACTCATAGTTTTTTCGGTAAAGTCACGTAGGTAAAACATTAAATTAAAATTAATAAAAATAAAATAATAAAAATCAGCCAGATTTACTGTATCAAGTGAGGCTCACTTGATACAGTAAATCTAGCTGTGACGGTCCCACCTGATGACGGAGACTTGTGTTGCCTCCGAAACGTCGTGATTTTTTATTTATTATTTTTTTATTAATTTTAATTAAATTTTTTACCTACGTGACTTTACCGAAAAACTAAAAGTATGAATCCTTGCAGTCACGAAAGCTTCAAATTTAGAAACATTGATGAGTGCCGCGCTATTTGCACTCTCCAGCTCTCGGATGAGTGGGGGGAAGTGGCACAGTGATTTGTGTACTCTACGATGAACCAGGCGACCTAATTTCTTAAAATTTCCCAGCGTTCGTTCATATCAGTGGTGAGTGATTTCTGAAGCAGTTCTGAGTTCCCTCTTTACACACCCTTCTGACCAGTGTGGTGAAGTATGGTCAAACAGCCTCCATGATTGATATGGCTTGGGTGGCCCTCTATCCATCGGAGAATTTACAAAGAGCTACACATTATTAAGATTAATATTACATGTGATTGTTAGAATTATTATTAGTTTGCTGTAGAGTTTGAATAATACTGAGATTTTTTTTATTCCTGTTGAAGCCGCTTTGCAATTTTTTGGGGAAATGTTCACAGTGTGCATTTTGTTGTTAAGTGGATGTTAAAATCATAACACCATCATTCAATACTTTTTAAAATGGCATTACAGTATAACCAAATTAATAAAGGTCCCAATAACACGTTACTAAATCAGTGGCATATGGTTAAAAAGCAGGTTCATTAACAAAACAATGGAGCGGACACTGGTAGTGTGCCGATAATCGTGGAGAGGTGCACACTTGAAGTGATGTTGCGAGACAGAAAGAGACGCGAACAAATGGATTGAAGGATCAACATAGAGTGAGGACATCATTCAAACTGTAAAGGAAATTCATTTGGCTTGGGCAGGAAGCATTGCTGCAAGGAACGATGGCCGGTGGTCAAGAATATTCATGGATCTTCTTGGTTCTTTCGGTAAAGTCACGTAGAAGGGAAATAATAAAATAATAAAATTTTAACATAATAAAATACAATTCTCACGACGTTTCGGCCACAACGCAAGCAGCCGTCCTCAGGTGAAGAACATGTCTATCGGAAAGACAACGTCTTTCATTATATTTTATTATTTTATTATTTCCCTTCTACGTGACTTTACCGAAAGAACCAAGTAGATGAATCCCTGCAGTCACGAAAGCTTTAAATCGAAATATTCATGGAATGGCAGCCAAGGGACGGAGCTCATCCAAGAAATTCAACCGAGGAGATGGAGTGATAAAAATAAGCTCGTGTTCAGATGTAGATCTTTGCATCTCAGTATCGTGAGAGATGACAGTGGCTTGGGAGACCTACATCCGGTGGTGGATTAACCAAGGCCGCGGCTGCTAATTACAATATTACTAAACTGCATGTAAAAGGTATGAAGGTCCCTATGTAGCTATGAGAACCCAGGCCTACCTTGCAAAGTAAATAACGTGTCGGAACTTGCGCTCTCCCACGATTAGGTAAGGGGATATAAATAGAAATGAATCTTCTTGAATTATGCAAGATCATGAATGAGAATGGTAACGTACATCTGTCTCGGTTTCTGAAACGTGAAATTTGTCACAGATGGGGGGGGTTTGGTGTCGAGGGAACACCCCTGGCGTTTGATGTTCATTGCAGACGGTGGCCCAGGCATGTTTGAAACCGTGCTAATAAGGACCAAGGCAATTGATGACTTAATATATGTGCTCAAAACATGCAGTAGCTTGAGATGGTGCGAGAAACCTGTTCTAATTAAAATATCTGCTCATTTGAAACCTGTTAGGATATATATGTATATGGTTTAACGGACTACTGTGACATGCAGACATTTTATTTTATTTTAGACCAAATGATCGGAGGTACATTTGATTTTTTTCAACTCGATTGGTTTGATAATAAGAATTTAGACATTAATCTCTTAATTAAAACCAGACGAGAAGCTGCTGAGACTGAAGTATATTTTATTGGAGTGACCTGCGATGAAGAGGAAATGTGGAGCATTACCAAACACAATCAGTCATAGCATCACTGTTGGTCACATCATAACAACAATTACAATCATGTAAAGGTGCATCCCAGAATACAAGCAATAACATTAGGCTGCCCGATGTATTTCTGCATCGCAGTACTGTGAGCCTTCATCCAGCAGTGCCTAGATCATAGCTGCTGATTATATATTTTTTTCAAACACACCCGCAGATAAAATAACAAATGCGAATATACTGCTCGAGTGTTTGGATTAATTGGGCTTTACCAAGCTCATGCATGAATTGGCATCTTCCAGCAATTAGTGCTGCTTTATTCACTTACTCCTCTTCATCCCCTATGGGACATGCGGCTACAATGAGCCCTCTCGATCTCTTCCTGTCCTTGCCTCCATGCTGTGCCTCTCCCCACCAGAGGTTCATCTGGCCAAGCTCTTCGGTGACGGTTCTTCGCCAGGTGATTTTTGGCCTCCCCGCTTTTCTCAGGGCAATTTTAGGGTGCGGTTCTGTTCAATTTTTAGGACATGCCCCCCCTAGAC